AATAGCGCCCAAGCCCATTAAAAGTAACAGAAAACCGGTCCAAGCCCATTTAGAATTGGGCACTCAGCGGTATTTTTTTTAACGTTGAGCGGTACTAGCGCATGATCCATTTTGGCCCCCCAGATGTGGTTTTACCCTCAACGGTGATTTCGGCACCTAAAACTACAGACCACAGCATAAAATTACCGACTCAGCGCCGCTCTCGGTCGAAACTTTTTCTACATTCTGGTTGGACTTTCAGCATTCTGGTTGACTGGTTGACTTTTTTGGTTGACTGGTTGACTTTTCTGGTTTTGGTTGACTTTCACCATTCCAAACATTCGGTATGGTTACTTCAAAGGATATAAACACCTAGTGCTCTCTTTGTGGGGCTAAAATCATGCATTTGGCTCAAAAAGGGTACCACACAAATGGACCTTGATCATATGATGCAAAAAAGCATTGTTCAATCATAGGAAACCGGGCAAATCATTAATGCTTTCAAAGTAAAGCATTCAATCACAACAACTTTGGAGCTCAAAGCCTCAACATATAAGCTCATTCACATTCCAATATACACATCCTGCTTAGTATATACTCACAATCACAAAATCTGCATTTGTTCAACAAAGCGTTGGTGAACCATCTGTATAAGCATATGGAATGTGCAAAATCTCAACATCAATTCAACATCAAAGCATCATCAAGCAGATATTATCAAACAACAATCATAGCAACCTAATACAGACAAAGTTTCCAAATTGAGTACATCAAACCTATTCTAAAAAACAGAAGCAAATAAGTTCAATAATATAAACAAACAAAGCATTTAAAATAAATTCCGGCTCTAGTGCTGAGACATCCATCAGTAAATGCTATCTCAGCTCCTCATCAGTCTGTGCTGTCATCTGCATCCTCCTCCTCTTCCTCATCTTCTGCATCCTCCAAGGCATCATCATCACCATCATCTTCATCCTTCTCCATGGCTGAAGCTTCAACTACTCCAGAGCTCTACCGCCTTGGGCCTGCTCCTCTGGCCAAGCTACCACATTATGGAACTATCCAATCCCATCTGTGTGCTGGGGTGTATCATACATTCTGATGGAATCCTACTTGGAGTAGTCTTTCCTTTTGTATTTTACTTTTAGCCTAGCTCTTAAGGAGTATGGGTTACTATAATACCCAATTTCCTCTTTGTATGGGACTTTGAGTGAATGAGAAGTTATTTCTGAAAAATCAGAATTAATTCTCTCTTGAAAGTCATAGGCTAGAGAGTCCAAAGACTTCCTAGCCACCTTCCAAGCACACTCTCATTTTTTCATTTCTCTAAACTTCACGGTGCTTACTCATTCCTCCAGCCACCTCTCTTCGCGCCACCCTCGCATGCGTCAGCGTTTTTTCAATTACTTGCTTCAGCCACGCGTGCATCCCTGTTCCACATTCATTTGCTTTGCTTCTCACAAATCAGACACGCACAGCCACATTCTCTCTTTCGTTTCTCCATCTCCCACAGAACCTCATTCGTTCTTTCCACTCGAGAGTTTCCTCGTCGCAGCCATTCTTCATCACAAATCCATCTCTTATCCTCCCGTAAGTATCAGGATTCACAAGTTTCTTCATCTTTCTGGTTGTTTTTCTTATTCCAAGTGTCACAAAATCATCGGCCAACATTTGCTCTAGGTTCTTCATCCTTCATTCATTTCTCTGATTTTAGCCGATTAAAATTACTTTTGATTGCCCTTCCAAACCTTTTCCACCGTTCAATCTTCATTTGAACCGATTAATCGCGTTCAGATTGGGTTCCTTCCATTTCTAGGCGTTTCTATCAAGTTTAAACCCTCTGTTTTTGTCATTTTCCGCTGGTATTTTTCGTCGAGAAGCTTCGAGGGGTCCGGTTTGTGTTTCGCGCAGCGCTTCCATCGACCTCTCCTCGGGCGTTTGTCCATCAAGTGGTATTCAGAGCAAGGTTCGAGCACGCGTCAACAGATAAGTTGTTCTATCTGTCCTGAATGTTTTTTCTCATTTGCTTTGCGTTTGTTTATTTTTTGGTTTGTTCTTGTTTGTGATTCATTTTTTCTCTGATCAGAATGTTGATGCAAGTCTTATGTTGAATCTGGTCTGTGATATCTTGATTTCGGTTTCTGTTTAGGGTTTCGTTGCGCCTATCTTTTGCGTTTTCTTCATTTACGTGGTTGTTCATTCATCTTATTTTGTCTCGGTTTTTGCTTTTGATTCTGAGCAATTTGTGCCTGCTCTTTTGCCAAATTAAAAATCTCCGAATAAATGTATTATTATTATATGTAAACCAACAAAGATTAATTTTTTCTATTAGATCACACAAATATTTAAAATAACATAAAATTTTCCAATTAAAAAATTATATTACGTAATTTCTTATTGGTAACCTTAACGGTTTTGAAGTTAAATTTTAATATAAAAATATTACGTAATCTGAAAACTTATAAGGGAATAAATTTAAAAATAAAAATAAAAATCTGTTTTAGACAAATGATAATAAACTATTTTTAATATATATTAAAATATAATATAGTTAATTTTAAAAATATATACTAATCTTAATTAACTTAAATATTAAAATATTAATTTTTCATCTATTTTCGTCCTTCTCATCCAAACTTATCCATAGACCAACTAAATTATTTGAGATAACTTATTTAGAAATTAATAAATAAGAAAAAATATTATTATATAGTATACGTGTCTATATATATGTGGGTGGGTGTGTGAGTGTGTGTATATATATATATATATATATATATATATATATATATTATTTAATAGTGAGGTAATTATTTAAATTACATTATACTATATTTAAAAAAAATATTTTTATGAACACATGTCAACGAAATTTAAAGCGTTTAATAAATTAAAGTCGACTCCTTAAAGTTTATCCAATAATTTGATTGAGATAAAATAGAATTCATTAAAAGTTAGACGATAGAGTATAGTGAAAAAATCAAAATAAAAGTACATTAAAAACAGTTATTTAATATATTTTTTTTATCGTATCACTTTCATGAGATTACTGTAGCGTTTACCAGAAATAAATAATTCTTTACCATTCTTAACTGATAAAATTCCACCAATAAGAAACATACATGACTTCTTTATACTTTAAAGACAAACAAGCTCTTTAAAATGTAAATCTCACGAGCACGCTCCACTGATTATTAGTCCATCTAAAATAGGTAGCATATTCATGTACTTCATGTATTTTATGTATGATCCATGTATACTTAGAGACTTTAGACAGGTTTTGCTGGTTCTCCTCATCAGTAACAGTCACCTGGATTTCTTTTGCAGTCTCGATGTTTACTTCTCTCACAACCTCCTCTTGCATACCTTGTTTCCCTACCGATATTTTTTTAGCTGAACCTTTATTAGCAGGTTGAATTGGTGTCGTAATACTATTTACATATGTTGAACTCTCTCGAATACTTAGGTTTTGTTCACTTGAATGTATTTGGGGAGAGTTGTTGAGTGGATTTAAGATGATTTGAAGGTAAATCTTTTTGTTGTTTATTTGAGTGAACTTGGAAAATGAGAGTGGATTTGGAAGTAAATTTTTTTAATCTGTCACGTCAATCAAATCTACACTAATTATCACAAACTTTACTTTCAAATTCACTCTCACTTACCTTCAAATCCACTCAAATAAAGAACAAAAAAATTTACTTTCAAATCCTCTCAAATCCCCTCAATCACTCTCCTCTAAATCTATTCAAGTGAACAAGACCTTAAAGATGACCCAGTGACAATGAAGACACAAAATGTTATTGGTGTACTCTTTATCCCCCCAACCTGAGAGCCTCTTGAAGAGATGTTGATAACAGACATTTCATTACCTTTTGTACAAAAGGAATTGATTACCGAACGGTGAAAAGATGAACGAAAAATGGTGAAATTTATAGGACCACCTAACCTCTATTTATAGAAATTCTCGAGGACACATGACACTTTTATAACCGTGAGATCTGACACCATCCAATGGAAAAGGGCGATGTGATGTTTCGCATTTGGCGTCAGACCTGATAGCAAACATATAAGGTGACATTACCGTCTATCGCCAACGATCAAATCTTTGACCCAACGATCACAATTTTAAACATAAATCGAACGAACACAACAATTAATGAGACATCGACACGATTCGCAAAGCAACCCAATCTTTCATCTCCAGTAATAGTATAAACAAATCCTCTTTGTTTGTTGACTTAAGTCCAAGCTAAGTCTTAAGAAGTTTGAATATTATATATCGACATGTAAATATTAATCAAATTACATCGACCGTACGTTCAAATTGAGATAAAACCAATTAATGCAAATTAGATCCAGTTAATCATCTAATTAAGTTAAATATGTTAGTAATCAGGTTTAACATAATTGGACTATAATTAATCTAAATCTTATAAAAAAATTCATAAAAAAAATTATAAATACATATTAAATATATAATTTTTAAGACTCTTATAACAAATTCATTACAACATTATTTATTAAACCGCTCTAATATCAAAGTAATTTAAATATCAAGATTTCTTTAAGAGATATTCAATGAATTGGATATATCCGAGAACAAAGAGAAAAAACACTGGACGTTACTTTATCCACCTGAAACATTTAGGTTTATTATTAAGTGGGAAGGGTAATTAAGGAGGAGGCTTTCCCAGATAAACTCACGTGTTCTCATCTACCCCATCCAGAGGGGAGACAAATATCGGAAGCAAAGGTTTGGTAGGAAAAACCATTTATACCATCTTCAATTTTTACTTTAATTAAGTTTCCCATATGCAAGTTTTGTTTTAACAAGCGAAGTCTTACAAAATTAATCTTTTTAATTTTTCATAACTTAAATTCGTAGTTTGAACATATATTATTTAAATTAAAAATAATTTATAATTTTAAGATCTATTGAGAAAAGTGTTGCAGTGATTTAGTGAGAGGACAAGATAGTAAGTCCACACTCTCTTTCCATCCAAGGCTCTTGTTATAAACCGCAGCAACACTCTTCTCTTCTCAAAACGCCAAGGGAAACAAACATAGCCACCGCTTCTGTCTCTCTCTCTCTCTGTCTCTCTCTTTCTCTCTCTCCGTGTTCAGATTCTCTCTTCCGCTCTGCGTTGGAATTGGGTCTCTCTCGTCGTTGTTGGTGTTCTGAGTGATGGGTATGCCCTGCCGCTGTTCCCACACCTCGCACATCACCGAAATCATCATCACCAGCTTCTTCCGCCATAAGTCTTAGATCCTCACCTCAATTATTTATAACTCCCTTAGTCACCTTCTTTCATGGCACCTTGAGATCCAACTTGGAGTAACCAACGCTTCCTCACATGGCGGCTGGAAGGGCTTTTTCCGACATCACTGCCTTCCTTCGCAACCAAACAGCTCTTCCCACTTCCCAACCTCTCGATTCTCTCTTCCTCTCTTCTTCCACTGCTCCTTTTCTCGGTCAGTCATAATTATTTATCACCCTCTCCCTCCTTAATTTTCACCACTGATCACGGTTTAACTAATGGGCGCTGTGTTTGACCTTTCTCTATTTGATTCAGGTTCGAGATCCATGATGAGCTTCGAAGGAGAAGGAGGGAAGGGGTGTAACGGTTCCTTCTTCCGCGCGTTTGATATAGACGAGAATGGAGATGAGTGCATGGACGAGTACTTTCATCAGCCTGAGAAGAAGCGCCGTCTCTCTGCCAATCAGGTTCAGTTTCTCGAGAAGAGCTTCGAGGAAGAGAACAAGCTTGAACCCGAGAGAAAAACCAAGTTAGCCAAAGACCTTGGTCTGCAGCCACGACAAGTCGCTATTTGGTTCCAGAACCGTCGTGCTCGCTGGAAGACCAAACAGCTCGAGAAGGACTACGAGATTCTGCATGAGAGCTATGAGAGTCTCAAGGCCAACTACGAAATCCTCCTCAAGGAGAAAGACAAGTTGAAATCTGAGGTAATCAAATCAAAAGTTAAATTTAGATCCAAAATGATTATCTTTCTATCAAAATCGAAGTTTGATCTTCATAACAAATGTTTAACAGAGCTAACACTTAAAGAAACAGCATATATAAGTTCTGTCCATGAATTATAATGTTCGTTTTATTCATGTATTGATACAATCCGGTGACTTTATTTTCTGGGCCGACGAGTTAATCCGTGTAACGTTTTGGTTAAATCAGGTGGCGCACCTGAGCGAGAAGGTGCTTGCAAGAGAGAAAGAAGAGGGGCAGTCGAAGCAGGCCGAAAGTGGAACAAAGAGGTTGCAGGAACAGGATCAGGAACCACCGCAAAGGCCTGTACTTGATTCAGTTTCGGAAGGTGAAGGATCCAAAGTGTCTTGTGTTGTTGGGGGTTGCAAACAGGAAGATATCAGCTCAGCCAGGAGTGACATTTTGGACTCCGACAGCCCGCATTACACGGATGGAGTACACTCGGCGGTGCTAGAGCACGGTGATTCTTCTTATGTGTTTGAGCCTGATCAATCGGACATGTCACAAGATGAAGAAGACAACCTCAGCAAGAGTCTGTACCCTTCCTACCTCTTTCCGAAACTCGAAGATGCGGATTACTCCGACCCAACGGAAAGTTCTTGTAATTTTGGATTCTCGGAGGAAGATCATGCTCTTTGGAACTGGGAGTACTAAGTTTTCTATAATGTTTGTGTGTCTGTGCCGTGTGTAGTGTTTATTTATTTAGTATTTGCAGTTTTAGTGGAGAATTTATAAATGGGAAATAAGTCAGATGAATGACTATAGGTTTATTAGGATAGAGATGGTGGTTTTTGCCGCATTTTGCTACTTGTAATGAAAGTGTTGGTTCCAATGTAATTAAATAATGCGTTCCAGTTGAGAATGTAATTGTGGATTTAGTTTAATGAAGAAATATAAATTGGAAAGATGAAGAAATGAAAAGATAGTTGAATTAGTTCGTAAAGAGAGGCCCATGTATGATTCCTGTTGAGTTGGGTTATGGAGTTCTGGGTCCCTGTTGCTTGGATCGNCAATGTTTGTGTGTCTGTGCCGTGTGTAGTGTTTATTTATTTAGTATTTGCAGTTTTAGTGGAGAATTTATAAATGGGAAATAAGTCAGATGAATGACTATAGGTTTATTAGGATAGAGATGGTGGTTTTTGCCGCATTTTGCTACTTGTAATGAAAGTGTTGGTTCCAATGTAATTAAATAATGCGTTCCAGTTGAGAATGTAATTGTGGATTTAGTTTAATGAAGAAATATAAATTGGAAAGATGAAGAAATGAAAAGATGGTTGAATTAGTTCGTAAAGAGAGGCCCATTTAAGAGTATGAGTATGATTCCTGTTGAGTTGGGTTATGGAGTTCTGGGTCCCTGTTGCTTGGATCGGTAAGGAACTCTGCATTCGAAGTTGACTTGCCTGCACTTGCAATTGTTTCCATTGTGAAAGAAGGATGTCACTTTCGTTACGACTTGGCCAAAAATCTCTGCCTTTCCATTCAACGGGGATCACCGACTTCTCTTCTTCTTTATGTTCTCCACTTTGAAAATTTACTCAAGAATATCTCTCACAACCTTCGCATCTTCTAACATTTCTTCAACCCAACATTTTTATAATTTATTCCTTTTCTCCACTGTTTTCTACCTACTCGGATAAATTAATCATTTATATGTTTTTTCACCACTAATATCTTTTTCTTCTTCTTCTTATTATTTCACCATCCATAAAAATGGAGTGGAGGAAAATTAAAGTTGGTAGGTAAAGAGGATGAGAAATAATTATTGAAGAGCATGGAATAAAATATTATATATATAGATTTATCTCTGGATGTTTTTTCACCAGGAAAGTATATTTTTTTTTCTTAACTTATATCTTTTCTACTTCCCGCTATTTATTTAGACATTGATTTTTTTCATGAATTAATCTCGTCTAAGTTAATAGGTAGACGATTATTTATGCAATATGTTTACCATAAATATTATAATAATGATAATTTGACAACATTTTTTTACAATATTTTAACACCATCTACGTGTCATTCTATGATTGGTCCATGTTAGTGTTTATAATTATTATTATTGATTGTGTAATAATTTTGAACTAATTATATAATGACACGTAAATTGTGTTAAAATATTGTCAAAGTATCATTATCCTAAAGATTATACTCTTTCAAATCAATTGTGAAATTATAAAACAAATAAAGGTTAACAATTGTATCACATATCTATAATATTGTTATGTTCTTGTAAATATAAAATATCAAGTAATCAAAATGAGTTATCACATTGATTAAGTTAACGAGAACTATTTTTATTTAACTAGTTTAGTAAAAATAAATATTTAACTAAATCCAGTATTTTGTTATTATTCTGAATCCAAATCCATCGAAATAATATTATCAAAGTCTATATTAAAATTGAGATATAACTTAGAATTTCGTTATAATTTTATTTTTAAAAAACACTTTCAATTATTAAAGGTGAGAGAGGTATTTAAATACTTAGTAAAAACAATTTTTTGTCACGTTATAAGAATAATAGGCATGTCTATATTCCAAAAGTAAAAACAGATTATTAAAGAATAATAAAACCGTGATTAATTCACATAATACATGTACTTCTAAGTAAGATTTTAATTTCGGATCCAGTGAACATAAATGATTTTTATTTGAAAAAATAGATAGTTATAGTTATAGCAATATTCGTACATACACACTCGTGACATCAATTATGTTTTGATTAGTTAATTATAATGTAAAAAATCATAACTTTAAATGTAATTATCCTTTATGAAACATAAAAAGAAGTAAAATTGAAGATAAGTATTGAATCTGTTGACTATAAAACAAAAAGAAAATAAAAAATACCATAATCCCGATGCAAACATTAAACACCAGTCACATGTATGAGGTGGATTTTTAAAAGAATAGCAAGGTATGGATGATTACGAACCAAAGGAAAATTTAGCGAAAGAAAAAATGGTGCTTACAATAAGGCAAGAACATGTCAGACAATGAAAGAGTAACACTGTCTTAATCTTTTGTCTCTTTTACTGTTCCTCGTTTTTTATTGGGAGTATTTGTAATACTCGAGTAGTAAATATCGATGAAAAAGAATGAAACGCTAGAACAAAACCCTCAAGAAACTAGGTTCTGTGATGAAGATGATGATGATAATGATGTTACATATGATTATTTTGAATACCAAGTCACAGAGGAGAGAAGAGGACGTTAATGGTAGAATAATTGAAATTGGTGGCTGAGAATGGCTGCGATTAGGGTCAACATGTCGTTCACATTCATCTCTGCTGTTAATTACGAATTTAATTTAGTTTAGTTTAATTTAATTGATTAGGATTTGGAAGGAAATTGCGTGAGGAAAGGTCCATGCTTAACGGCGTGTCATGAAAGATCCAATCAGAAGGTGCCACACGCTCCTGCCTTCTAAAAACGCTTTCCTACCAACCGAGTCAACCCCACCACACACCACAAGGGCTTCACCTTGATGCTGCCACGTGTACGGCCACCATGCCACCACCTGCCACGTTTTTTTCTGTCCTCTTCGGTCAAACAAAAAAAATTGGGAAAATCAAGAGGCGCGAGCCAGATTCAAGAGCAACCACACCAAATGCCTTCTGCAAACACCGCACTGGAATCTACACATCATCTGGGCCCCACCCGACGTTGACCTCGATGCCACGTGCCTTTTAATCTGCGATTCTGTATGAACCCTCCACAAAAAAAAATCTATCATGTTTTATTATATAAAATACTACAAACACAAAAGATAAGCATCATTAATACTCTAAACAGTACAGTGTACATAGGCTTCAATCTAGAAACCTTGCTTAATACAAAGATAAAGTGTCCCAATTTAATACATTTTTCTAAGCACTCAAACTCCTCTGTCTGTAACTTTTTTTTTTGTATACATACTTGTCTGTGATTCTTTTAGTGATTATATGTTTTTATTTCATAAATCTAGATTTTTTTCGTTAATTTAATTTCGATAAAATAATGTAATTGTTAGTTTAGTATTTAAATTAGTAATTATCCATACGTTTATAGTTTGAGTGGTATTTGAGCCAAAATGTGATGTTACAAGTTATAAAATGAAAGAAAATGTTATGGAAATGGAGAGAAGATAGTAAAATTATTGTGGTGATTATAATGATTCGGAGTGAGGTGATGAAGAGAGGATGTTGGGTATGGTAGTACGTAGAGTGATTAATTTATTTTGCAAACAGATCCGGTACTGAAAATGATGAATTTAATTGCCACGTTTTAAAAGGGGTTAGATTTATAAAAGGGGTAGATAGATAATTTATAGAAAATTTTGTAGTTTTGCGAAAAATACGAAGGAATCAAAAGAAATGACAAGACGGAGACAGCAGTGGCATCGATTTATGGCGCATTTTTTGTTTTATTTTATGGAATAAAGGGATTGATTGTTGAAGTTGAAATGCGATGAATGCAGAGTTAAAATCTGAGGAAGATTAAGGTGAAATTGTACATAGGGAAAGAAAGTTGTCATATCAAATTTCAGTATTTTAATTTAAATCAGATTATTTTCTTTTCCATTGTGGATGTATTTTCTCATTTTCATACAAGTATTTTTCATGAAAAAATCATGCTTTCAGGGACTCTTAGATAATTATTTATTCGAAAAAAATACACGTATGGTTGGGTTGCTTTCGTTGGACCCATGCTAAGGCTGTTTGCCAGTACTTCATGACAATGTCCTCTTCCGCTCTCAGCACACCAAGCTCTCACTCCTTTCACTCATTTCTTACTTCTTCTAAATTTCTTTACACAACACAACAAAGGAAGTTATATATAAAAAAACAAAATCAATATCAAAATAAAAACCATAACTTTTTTCTATGGGTTAAATATACATTTGTCTTAAATTGTTTTAAAATTTCTATTTCGTTATTAATATAAATTATATCTTTATTTTATTTCTAGTATAGACTATATACATATTTTATTTATATATTTTATGAAAATTACGTAAATTGTTTTTTTCAATAAACATATTTTTTTCGTACCATGAATAGAATTTTCATAATAAATTATAATATATAATTTACGTGTTCTTTATTAAATAAGATATTTTACGTGATTTTTATAATATATAAATATTAAATAAATATATAATTTATATTGAGAATGAAACAAAATATTTTAAAATAATTTAAGAATGTAAACCATGTATTTAATCTTTCTTTTCATTATGAGTTATATTGTTATTAAAAGATTGTGAATGATTTAAAAAATATAAATAAAATCGCTACAGAAAATGCTGTGTATCAAATTAATATATCTTCTTATTTATATATATATATATATATATATA